ATATGCAAAATTCCAGTTTACTTTACCTTATTTTGCTAAATTAAAATTACTTTTTTGATTATCTATTATATTTAATTTTCAAATTTTAAAATCATTAAACTAGATAGAACTTATTTTAACAGGATTTTATTTATTTACTTTTTGGATAGTGAACAGGCCGAATTTTTTTAAGATATATATTTATAACAAATAAGTTATACTAATTTATTAATAAGAAAAAAAATTGTAATCTAACTTTTGGTATACGGTGCTAATACCTTAAAATAAATAAATAAATAAAACAAGAACAAGAACGGTGCAAAATAAAAAAAAAATAAAAAATAAAAATAAAATAAAAAAGAACGGTGCTTATATCTTCCATATCTATTTTTTGGTAAACAATATCTTTGATATCCTAGCAGAATATATGTTGAAATTATTAGGAAATTTTGTTAATTATTACCTCAAAAACATAGGCTTTGTAAATTACTAGTCCTAAAAAACAAAAGTTTTTAATTACTACCCCTAATTCACCTAAATAGGACCGATTACTACCCAATTGCACTTTCCTGTGACTTAACTCACCTTATGGTGTCATTACTCCGATTTAACCACAATTCACACTAACTCTAATCTAATTAACCTAACTAACCCCAAAAATTAAAATTAAAAAAAAAAAAAACAAAAAAACTTTTTTTTTCCCCCTTCTTCTTCTTCTTCCCTTCAAACCTCCATGACTGCACCACCACCACCCCTTCCCCACCAAAATCCGACCACCACCACGACACCACCCCTCCCCTCCAAAATCCGACCGCCCACAGTCGGTCGCCTCCAACTTCTAAGCATCCCATCTCATTCCTCCTCCTCCATAATTTCCGGCAGCCCATTCCTTCCTCCTACCTTCTTACTTCCTTTCTATTTCCTTCCTCCCTCCTTCCTTTCTCTTTCCCTTCACTCTCCATTAATTCCAATCCCTCCACCCAGCCACCCACTACTACATTTTCGATCAAATGCAACGCCAAAAAATGGGCTATTGCAACGCCCTATTCAATGGCGTCGCAATAGATAGCCTATTGCAACGGTAGGATTAACTAATACAATTAGTCAATTATATATCATATCTACTGCAACGGTCCCTTATATGCCGTTGCAATAGATTGGGCTAATACAATGGCAACAAGAGCTAACACAACGGCTACTAAACTTTAATATTTTTTTCTTTCCCTCCGTATTTTATACCCAAAATTTTGAAATTCTAAATTAAAGTGCCCAAATATTTTAACCCCCGCTTTTTTCTTATCTCCAAATTAGAAAAATCCCCAAATTCCCCTTCTTCAATTCATTTGGTTAGGGATTCCTCCAATTTTGCAACCTGCCTTCTCCATCCTCGAGAACCCGTCATCCATTAAAGTCCATTGAAGCAATACTCTGAATCCTTTACTCTCTGGTCCAATGAAGCAGTCTCTGAATCCCTTCCATTCAAGTTGTATTTTGAATTCTCCATTGAAGCCGTACATTAAGCTCTTCCCTGAAACGGCTTTTGAGCCTTTTGTTCTCCATTGAATCAGCTTTGGGTAAATTGTTTTTTTTTTTTCTTTTAAATCATCACTGACTATCGATTTTACAATCTAGGGTTTGCCTCTTGGCTTTTGTTTTATTTTCATATTTTTGATTTTAGGTAATTGATTTGTAAAAAAGGATTTGTAATCATCATCGACTATTGTATTCAAGGGTTTATGGAGGTGATGGTGGTGGTGACGGTGGTCGCGTTATCCACTACGACGCTTCGATTTCTAGGATTTCAGATTATAGCTAAGAAGAGATTTAAGACTACCGCTCCTCTCTTCACTGCCACATGCACGGTATTTCTTTCCCTCTTCTCTCTTTAAGCTAAAATTAATGAAGTGTTTGTTAATGTTCAAGGAAGATTTCAGTCTGATTTTGCAATTCCGATCCCTTGGAATTTGATTTTGCGAAGATTTGGAAATAGCTTGATATTGTGTTATTGGTTTTAGCTCTTAAATTAGTTGTTGCTACACCTCTATACTTGTACGTATTGCTATTTTCTCTGTTATGTAAATTCATATGATCTGGTAATCTTTTAGCTCTACAGTTGTAGTATCAGATCTTGTGCTGCCATTAAATTGTCTCTGATTAAACTAATCAATGCATTGCTAAGGAGGGTGGTGAATCAACTATATGAAATTCTATTTTCTGTTCATTTTGTTTGAAGCTTGACAGATTGGTTTTTATCTTTTTTGGAAACTTAAAAGGAAAGATCAAGCAAAGCTTGATTAGTTTTTGATTTATGATTATCAACCTAATCCCATGATTATAACCTCTAAACCCCCGTGTCTAAATTGTTTAATTTTGTTGTTTTTTTACCAGTTAATTTAATTAAACCCAGTTAAGAAAAGTGAGAAAATTGCTATAATTAGTTTTCTTTTCTCTCTTTCTCTCTCTCTTTTTTCTTTTGTTTTTTGGGTGTTATTTTTGCAGAGAATAAGGTAAAAAAGGTACTTCATTTGCTTTTATGAGCTGTTGATACACCAAATTTTAATGATGACAATGCTTTTCTTGTGAGCAATTAACTGACTTTGTTGATTTTTGGAGAACCTAAGGTTACTAAAGTGAGTTGTTAATTTTGTTGTAAATGTTTTGATTATTTTCTATTTTAGGGTGTTTTTTGCATAAGTTATGTTGTTACTAGTGTTGCTGATTGGGAATGTATTAATGATAGTACCATTTTGTATAGAAATAGTCTTCAAGAACGCTCTGGACTTCCCACGGTTTATTCATTTGGTAATGCAAATTTTAACTAGTAGATCATTGAAACATCGTGATCTTAAGTTGATGCATGATGCTCGTGTTTATGTCCTTTGTGAGGTATAGGATTGCAAGGATATTGTGAATTTGTGATGGATATAATTTGTAGATGAGTAAAAATTATAACATGTCTAATATATGATTATGATATTTTGCTCATGCATTTCTCGAACTTTGACATTATAAGTTGCAATATTGTTGGACAATGACTGCATTGTAATTATAATGGTTGTTAAGTGAAGAACCCGTGAGGTTGTGATTGAGTGAAATTTTTAATGATTTTGGAGGGTGATTTTTGTTTGTAAGTAAGTGCTTGTGCTCAAATGAAATGTAAATTCTTGTATGTTTATTATTAATTTTGGTTTATCTTTGTCTTGTTTGGTAGACAGGGTATATTCTGGTGATTGCTCGTCCAAGCAGGTGTATGAGGAAGGAACAAAGGAAATTGCTCTTTCTGTTGTTAGTGTTACTTGTAAGTAAATATATGTGTATATTTACCTAAACTAAGTAAAGAAAAGATTGTTACTCGTGGAGTTCTGCTAATCCATTTCACTTTTCATATTTCAGTTAATGCTTTGATGTAGCCAAAACAAATTTTTCTAAAAGTTCAATGTATGCTTGATTTTCTTGTTCTGGTTTTCATTATGCTACTTTTGATTTCAGTTGTCAGATTCGGCAAGAAGAGAGGACCCAACTCATCAGAGAAGTAAGATGTTGAATAGCAGAAATTCCAGTAATTGTTCTGGTTTGTTTACAATTTTAATTATAAATGTGGCTTTTAATGTTATTTTTCCTTATTCCACTGAATTTTCTGCTTTCATAAACCCAGACAGATTTTTCCCTTCTAACCAAACTCTACTGTATTTTTTGGTTGATCTACGGAGTATGACAGTAAGTTCTTAGTTATTCTAATCTGTAGCCGATAGGTCGAGTGATTCTATTTGTAGATCCAATCCTTAAGCTGGGATGCTCAGTTGAAACCTTAAACTTGATAAGAATAGTCAATGAAGAGTATCCATAAAAATTTACCCGAAACTTTGTCAGTTTTGAATCTGGCATATGTTAGTTTGTTCTTAAATCTGGTAGTTATGCTCCATATAATATACTAGTGGGCTTTGGTTTATTGCTTATATTGGATTTAACATTTAACTTCATACACGGTTTGTTTTTGTGTTGTTGATGTGACATTATCTGGCTATAATAATATATGTGCACAAATATAATACAATTGTTGTAATCGGCTAGCCATGATCCATGATTTTTTTTTTTATTAAATAATCTTTTCATATTTCACCATTACTATTTTTGAAGTGTCTTTTGTGAAGGTTGTTTCTTAGGATTAATCTTAAGGGACTATCTCACCATCATGTTTTGTTTGAGTTATTTAGTAAGTTTTAAATTTATATGTGCTTTTTATTATTTTATTTGTAGTTAATTAGAGTGTGGGTTGATGTTATCGATTGGAGTTATTGGTTGATGTTTCCTTTCATTCAAGGAACTAAGAATGCTCTCATTAGTTTTGGGCTCTGGCATCACTAATGCTTTTTTTTCTGCTATTGCTTACAACTTTTCAAAGTTAGAGTTGCTTGACTTTAGTGGGTACTGCCTTATTTTAATTTTTCATTGCTTAGTCAAATTTGTCATTCACTAGCAGGATTCGGCTGTTTCTAGTTTGAAACTCAGGTTTATCAATTGTCTCGGAAAATATTGATTGATAGACTATGCCTGCCTGTTGTCTCACTGTTATTTCATCTTGTTGATTATGAAGTATGGAAAGTTTCTTAAATTTGGTTTCTTTGAAGTAATATCCATTTAAAATCTACCTTATTAGCCTTATTACAGAACTTCAGTGGACGTAATCGTATTGAGACATTTTCTATAGTTCAACAATCCTAGGTGCTTGTAGATATGTAGCCAACATCGTGCTGAAATTCTTACAGATTGAAAATGCTCCTTCAGAACGCTATTTACTAAGCAAACGAATGGCCGATGGATCTAATAGAGTTAGAGTTCCTCACATTCTCATTGGGTGAAACAAAGCCTTTCAATTTGTTTAAGAACTAATATCACATACATTATAAAGCACGAAACAGAGCTTAATTCATTGTGGATTGTGATTACAAAAAGATTAGAGGTGCACATCTTCTGTCTGTATTATTTTTATGTCTAGTTTGTGCTGCTAACTGTGTTTACTAATTGAAATAAGACTGAGAAACTAATATTGTGTGCATTATGCTTCTCTTGTGTTATCTCCTTATGTGTGTCCTTGTGTTGTGCTAATGGAGAGGCACTAGACTCGTTTTCATGGTCCATGTTACTGTTTTTGGTCATAATCAGGCGCAATATAAAAAAAATTTAAGCAATGTACGGGGGCATTAATTTTCTGCACCGTTTTGATTTTTTTTTTTTTTTGATGGGAGAAGAATGATAAGGAAATTCTTGGTATAAATTTTGACATCTTTACAGACTTACAGTTTTTAGCTTCTCTTAGCTACACACTTCTAACAAATTTCCTAATGTGCCCCTTCTAGAAATAATGGTGGCAACTTAATTAGTTCACCTACAGTGCATGAATCTGGTGCTTTTGATTCCAGAATACCTTTGACTACTACTTAGTTCTATTTCTTGGTTGTTATTTAGCTAGTACTTTGTTATATTCCGGGGGTGCTATTTTGTTTTTCAGACTTGGAATGCTTATCTTTTGGTAATTAATGTGGCTACTGCCACTATAAATTAATAATATTTTCCTTTCTGTGTAAAAAAAATATTTTCTTTGCTGCCATCTTTTAAACAACCATAATCTGAGCTATGTTGATTGTGGCCTTGGTCTATTATAATTTATAATTTAGTTTAATTATATTTCTTTTATTTTTTTCAATTTTACGTGTAGGTGCATGGGGAGTCAAATGGAGCGGAAGTATAGTGACTAGCCATCTAACAAATGGTGCATATATGTTGGCGACTCTTATTCAAGTTCCGGCTTTGTGAAGATTTGGATATTTCGGCTTATATATATGTTGACAATTTGTATTTTGGACGATCAAATTAATTATCTAACTTTTATTTATTATTAGTACGGTATGTCATATCAAAAATAGGCAAGTAATATTTTGTAATGTATGTATTTTGTATTATAATTATTATATATAAATGATACTTTAATTTGTTTATGTTAGTATATTTAGATTTGTGCCGACTAATTAATATTATATTACTATTCCATCCCAACAAAAAAAAAAAAAAAAAACCAATGATCAACCCGTTGCAGTAGATAGGTACTCCTACCATTGTATTAATTAGCTTCATCCGTTGCAATAGATTCAATTTCATCACAATTATTAGTCAGTACTCTATTGCCACGGATAAGTTATGCCGTTGCAATAGGTTCAATTTCATCATAATTATTAGTTAGTACTCTATTTCTACGGATAAGTTATGCCGTTGCAACATGTATTGGTCTATTGCCACGGATCAGTGGTGCCGTGGCATTAGGTGTCATAAGCCGTTGCATTAGACCTACTGCAACGCCAGCAGATGCCACGGTACATGGCCGTTGCATTAGGCCTAATGCCACGGATTTTGATGCCTAATGCAACGGATTTAGGGGTTGCAATAGATCAAAATTGTAGTAGTGACCCACGACTGACCACGTACCCTTGCCAACCACCCTTTATCATCCTCAATTTCTCTATCTTCGTTCTCAATTTCCAGCCACCGCCCAACCTATAATTGCATTACTGCGAACACAAACATGAATTCTGGGTTTTAGATGGGTTTTGTTAGGGAAGAACCGAAGAAGAAGGGTACAGGAGAGAGAGAGAGAGAGAGATGAGGGAATTTACTTCTTTTTTTTTCTGTTATTCTTATTGTTAGGTAAGGTAATTAATGTGGGGTAAGATTAGTTGGGGTAATTTATTTATTTTTTGGGTTAGTTAGGTTAATTAGATTAGAGTTAGTGTGAACTGTGGTTAAATCGGAGTAATGACGTCATAAGGTGAGTTAAGTCACTGGAAAGTGCAATTGGGTAGTAATCGGTCCTATTTAGGTGAATTAGGGGTAATAATTAAAAACTATTTTTTTAGGGGTGGTAATTCACAAAGCCTCTGTTATTGAGGTAGTAATTAACAAAATTTCCAAATTATTATGATGTGATAGTATCTTTTATATATGGATATACATCATTGTATATATACTACTGACTACATATTATTTTTTCAATATTGCGGTTGCTTTGACATAAAATTAAACCTTCGTTACAATGGCTAAGATGAAGCGATTAAAAACAATGGAGGATATTGATCGATTGAGCTTACTCCCAGACATCGTCCTTATACATATTCTCTCTCTTCTTCCAATCAAATCTGCCATAACCACCTCCGTCTTGTTGCACCAATGGCGTTACCTCTGGACTCACATCACCAACATCGTCTTCACCCGAAAATGTAATCCTTTTCCTCCAACTCGTGATTTCTCCGCAACTATTTATCACATCTTTAAGCTAATCACCTCGACAAGAATTCATCGTTTTTATCTCTTCTGGAAAAATTCTAAAAATAAAAAAGATATAGGATCATGGATTAGTAATATATGCACCCGGAATCCACCCAGAATCCAGAACAAATTATCGTGGAAATGATGGAGCCCAATTTATTAGGTAAGAGAATTATTTTACCTTCTTGTATTCTTCAATGTCAATCTCTAGTTGAGCTTACACTGATCAGAGATATTAGTATTACATGTCCCGATGAAGGATTTGTTGTGGCTCTTCCGAAATTGAAGAAACTTCATTTATTGGCCGATTGTAATTTGTTGGCTAAAAGTTTTAGGTGTTGTCCACTGTTGGAAGATTTAAATGTGCGACTTGAATATAACATTGCGCAAATTTTGGATTTATCGGCTCGTAATCTCAAAATATTGGTTGTTATGGAAGAGTTTAATCCAGCTGAAATACGAGCAAAACTTGTAATCAATGTGTCAAAGCTGGAAGATTTTACATTACATGATGTTAGAATGCTACTAAGATATATCTTATTATATGATAGGAATATAAAATATAATTTGTGATCTTGTGATATTATCTTGTGAGGAGAATTATTCCCCAAGTCATATACTTTGTATAAATATTCCATAACATTGAATGAGAAGATTGAGAATTTGTGCTTAATTTGACATGGTATCATGAGCCAAGGTTAAAACCCTAATTTTTTCTTTGGCGTGTAAGATCAGTTTGTGAGATATGGGTGAGAAAACTCCAATTGATTTAACGTATTCGAGTGATAGTCCCGGTAATGTGATCACGCCTATTCAATTGCGTGGTGAGAATTATGATGAAAGGTCACAATCTAATTGAAGGGCTTTGATGGCTAAGCGGAGATTCGATTTTGTAGAAGGAACAATTGCAAAACCGACAGAACCAACTTCGAAATGGATGATTGGACTGTTGTGCAATCTATGCTAGTGTCATGGATAACAAATATTCTTGATCCGAAGGTGCGATCGACGATTGGTGATTATGATGATGCGAGTATTCTTTGGACAAATTTAAAGAATTGGTTTTGCGTGGTGAGTGGTACTCATGTGTGCCAATGGAAGACTTCTTTGGGTGAACGCAAACAAAATTCCAACGAGTCTGTGGCCGATTATTTTGGCAGACTTTCGAAGGTGTGCAAGGAACTTTTCACATTCATGCGTGTGCCCAAGTGTGCGTGTGGGAAGTGTACTTGCAACATTGTTGCTCAAGTTGAGGAGATTAGAGAGGAAGATTATCTTCAATTCATCATTTTTTGATCGGGTTGGATGATCATTATGCATCAATTTGTGCTCATCTTCTCGCTCAAAAATCCTCTTCCGACGGTCGACATTGCCTATCAAAATATTGTGATGACTGAGCGACTCCGTGATGGTGCCACACTCAAGGAGAATAAAGATACAATGAGTGCATTTCGAGTGGATGCACGATCAAAACAAAAATATGTTGATAAGAGTGACAAATTTTGTAACCATTGTAATCGGGAAGGTCATAATGAAGAGGAATGTTTTCAAATACATGGTTATCCTGAATGGTGGGGAGATAGGGGACGTGGTGGAAAAGGTCTTGGCCGTGGTGGCGGTGGTGGTGGGGGGCGTAGCAGTGGAGGTCGTGGGTCCCGCAATAGCAGCAGTGGCTCGACAGTAGCTACCCCTCCTTCTTCGCAGACTATGCGTGCAAACAAGGTGGTCGGTGGTTCGAATAATGGGCAGCAATCGAAGGTGTCCCCTGATGATGCAACGAGCTTGGTTGGGGTGAATGCTTCCCAAATTCAGCAAATATTGGATATCTTGAATCCAAAGAATATACATTTGCATGGTAAGGAAACTACTATCCCTTGGATTGTAGATACGAAGGCATCAAATCATGTGACGTGTGATTTTTCAATGCTCAAAGATGTGAAGCAAGTTCAACCTTATCCCGTTGGTTTGCCCGATGGAAAATCGGCAAATGCGGATCAATTGGGAACGGTGATATTGCCCGATGGATTACGTCTTGATAATGTTCTTTATGTGTCTCAATTTACTTGCAATTTAATATCTGTAACTCAATTAAGTGATGAGTCTAAATGTGTGATGCAATTTACTAACAAAATATGTGTTATACAGGACCCACTACAAGAAAAACCATTTATCGCAACAAGTTTTTGCAACGACTTACTGTTTGTCGTTGCAAAGCATAATTTTGGCAAAGACTACAAATATACCGTTGCAAATCTTGTTGCAAAAAATAAAATTTTCATTTCCCTCCACCAACCATTAGCGCCGGCATTGAAAATTTGGGGGGGGGGGTAAAAATTTAGCACTATGATTTGAAACGAAAGTGGTTGTCTAAAAAAAAATCGAATGTATAGCCACAATAGTAGTTGTTGCGAAAAATAAACTCCTGGGTATTGCAACAACAATAGTGGTGGCGAAAAATATCAATATGTTTATGAACAATAATAGTCGTTGCCAAAAATAAAACATATACCCAAATTAAACAAAAGTCATACAGCTAATTCCCATCCTTTTTTTATTTCATTTGTTTTTATTCTAATATTTCATTGATTCAACCCATAATTGCATACCTAAAAGTCTACATCTTATATGGATAATGCTATTGGCTTAGTGATGTCTGTACTAACTTTATAATTGTACTTGTATAGTTATATATGTTATTAGGTTATCCAAACTAAATTTGAATGAGGTATTATATATGATGTAATGTATAATATATGTAATTTTATTTTTATCTTCTTAATCACTGATTAATATTGCATTGGCTTATGACATTGAAGTTATGTTTTTGCGATTTGATTGCGATTTTGGAGGACCTTCACTATAATTTGAATATAATATTAGAGCAAGTTATTCAGAGAACTTCATTGTTAGTATGAAATTTAATAATTGATCGCCGGATACCCATTGCCACGGGGTTGTAAGTTTTCTCTGCACACACTGACCCGGGCACACCCTGCCACCCAATAATTTGCATCTAACCGAGCTAACTCCCTGCTAACGAAATTATAAAAAAAATAACAAATTTATTGCTTCTATTATTTGGGTGGTAGTGGGTTTCTAGTAGGGTTTGGGAGGGGTAGTTAGTTGGGTGGCAGGTTTCCTCCTAAGGTTGGGTGTGAGGTTTGCAGTTCAGTTTCGCTTCTACAGGAAGGGTGTATGGTGTGGCTGCTAATCTGGTTGGGCTTTTTTTTGGGGGAGCAGGTTGTGCCAATGGGTTGTACGATTTTTATTTATTTATTTATTTTTAGTTTTTGTTTCTCTGGTGTGTGTTATGTTATGTTTTGTTGTTTGTGTGTTGGTTTGGCTAGTATGAGGTTGTCTTGTGATTAATAAATATGGTTTCCTTTTTTATTTTTTATTCTATAATTTATAAATTTTATCCTTGTATTGTGTTATTAATATACATGTTTTTTTCAAGTACTAGGAGGTGGATTTGAATAAGACTTGGATGAAAATAAGAAATCGATCGTCTCTTGATTATGTGAAAGGTGTTGATGGCTTTTTAAATTTTGCCTATTGTAAGATTAGATGATAAAGAAACTTTTACTATTAGATGTCCTTGTAATAAGTGTCGAAATATATTTTTTAAAAAGAGATGTGATATAAGATTAGACTTACTTAAGTGGGGAATGTATGAGAACTATACCTTCTGGGACTTTCATGGGGAAATTTCACAAAGTGTAAATGAAAATGACGAGTTTGATGATGATGATGATAGTGAATTTAATATGTTACAAGATGCTTGTGGCATTACTAGCATGAGTTTAGGGAACGATGTGCAAAACATGAAAGGTATTACTGAGAATAGTCATGTAGAACCTAATGAAGATGCTAGAAAGTTTTACCGACTTCTTGAAGAATTTCAAGAGCCTTTGACAATAGATGGCTCTAAAATGTCAAAGCTGTCATATATTATGAAGTTGCTTCACTTGAAGGTTCTCAATAATTGGAGTGATAGCTCTTTTGAAAATTTACTGAAGTTGCAGCGCCAAGCTTGGGGTACTACTCTTCCGAATTCCTATTATGAGGCAAAAAAGTTGATCAAAGTCTTGGGTCTTGATTATATAAAGATTGATGCTTGCCAAAATGACTGCATCATTTACTGGAAAGAGCATGGAAATCTGAATAAGTGCCCTAAATGTGGTTTATCAAGGTGGAAAACAAAAAACAAAAAAGGCTCTTCTAAGGGAGTACAAGTTCCTCACAAGGTTCTACAGTATTTTCCGTTGAAGTCTAGGTTGCAAAGATTGTATATGTCAAGAAAAACCGCTAAAGATATGCAGTGGCACAAAGTGGAAAGAGAGAAGATGATATTATTAGGCATCCTGTTGATTTAGTTGCATGGAAATCATTTGATGAAGAGTTCAATGAGTTTAAATCAGATGCACATAATGTAAGGCTTGGGCTAGTGTAGGGAATATTTCAAACATCAACTTTGAGCCCCACTATGATCATGTATTAAAGCATGGTGGCGTCCACAGGAGAACAAGCTAGAGATAAAAGAGTCGCCAACAAGTTTTAGGAACTTGTAAACTGTTCATGGGTGTGAAGGTAACACCCCATTCACGATCACAGAGATTGCTAACTTTATAGTGGTCCGGAACCATGGCTGGATATTTGGGGATGATGGTACGAATCCAACCTAAAAGAGATTGAACTCGCCCTAAATAGGCCTCTACTTAATTCTTATGATATTCATGTGCGCTTTCCGATCAACATACATACATTAAGTTAGCCCTAAACTTGTTTAATCTACGTTGGTTGATTATTAATGCACAAATAAATATATTATTGGTGATTACTTGAATTAAAATCATATTAACCTACATTTGATTAGGGTTTTGTTAGAGAGAGAAAGCTAGAGAGAAAATCTCCAAAATCCTACCTTTTTTTTTTCTATGCATGGTGCTGATTTTGGTGGTCGTCTTTCACTGAATCTGAGATCATGGCTCGCAAAAAAAAGCAGCAACAACAATCTACTCCAGATCCTTAACTTCAATCTCAAGAAATTCGTGAAACCTTGTTCTTTAGGTTAATTGGAGCTTATTCTCGGCTAGAGGTGATTGCTGAAGAGGATGAACTTATGACGCCGGCGCCGGGGCTAGTTCACCCGTCGGCCAGAAAAGTGACTAGGCGAGATGCTGTGATGCTTGTTCTATTTTGGTTCTATGGGTTCGAAGGTTGGAGTTTCGTCAATTAGGGCTCCTTAAGCGAAGGCTCCGTTAGTGTTGGGCAGTAATGCAGCGTTGCCCTCTTCCATTGCTGATGCTCCTCTATCACCTGCTAATGTAGTTCTCCAACCATCTTGTGATGGTCCTTTCGTTGATGCTGGGCCTTCAGCGCGTTTTGTTGCGGGTTCCCTGGCAGTTCATGGTGCAATTGCTTCTCCTTGTGCTGATGCTCCTCCAGTGGGTGCAAATGGAAATCAAGGTGGAGGTTATTCCGGCAAGTTGAATGCTAAAGGTGTTGCTCTTAGTTCCGTATCACCGCAAATAAAAGAAGGTAAGCCTGTAGCTATTTTACCTGTTGAGGAGATTGCTAATTGAGGGTACACAAAAATGGTGTAATGCTACTGTTTTGTATGTTGTTGGATTTTCTCCTTCGATTGCTGCTATGCATAGATTTATTGTTGAACATTGGAGTAGTATTGTTAAGCCTGAGATATATTGGCATGATGATGGTTACTTTGTTATCAATTTTTGTTCTTCTGGTGATTTAAATTCTATCTTGTGTAATGGCCTGCATGTGTATGATGGAAAACCTATTGTTGTGAAGCAGTGGTTAGAAAAGTTTGATTTTAGTGCTGAGGTCTTGCATATTGTTCCTTTGTGGGTGAGATTACCTAACTTGCCATTGAATTGCTGAGACTTTGAGTAGGATTGGGAGTTTGCTTGGTGTCCCGATTTGTTCTGATGAATGTACTGTGAGGCAGTTAAGGGTTTCCTTTGCCCAATTGCTTGTGGAAATTGATGTGACAAAGTCGTTCGCTAAGTTTGTTTGGGTTGAGAGCCCAGGTGGTGAGTTAGTGGAGTTGACTGTTGTATATGACTAGGTACCTCCTTTTTGTGGGAAATGCCATAAGGTTGGGCATATTTATGTGAGCAACAGGATAAGCCCGTACCCTATGCTCAGCAAGTGCTGAAGAAGCCTTAGCCTCAGGTTCAGCCTCAATAGAAGAAAACCTGGGTCCCAAAGGTTACAGTGGGTGTTGGCCAGAATGCCAACAAGCAGGCTAATGGTGGTGATTGGAATATAGT